AAGGCTGTTTGTCATCAAACATGTAAACATAAAACAGTGCAAGTGGATTAAACTTTTCCTAATTCACTCTAAAGCTGAAAGGAAGGATAAGACAATAAACCCATGGGAGCTGCCATGCTGTTTGTTTTCTAAGCTGTCAACCAAACTGGAACTGATGATGATAGGAGGAAGATAACAAACAATAGAGAGAGCAAGTGCCAGGCAAGTCCCTGGCGAGTCAGCAACGCCCATCATAACTGCAAGCTATTTTTACAGGTTTTGTTGGTGTGACACTTTCCCTTTAAAAGCCTTCAAAATCATCCTGTTCGTCATCTGATATCATAAAAATATCAATGACATCTTGTGATAAATTCCGAGAGGAATTTAGCTGACACCCCTCCCCTTCCAGACCCATAGCTTCCTCCTCCTTCCTACCGTGTGGGGCGTGAGGAAAGAGGGAACGCCTTGCGCCGCTGCCGCCGCCGCCTGCTTGCCCACCTCCACAGCCGCCAGTCGCATGCTCAGTATGAGCCGCCACTGCATCCCCCATGAGAATCTCCTACCGCCCCGCCTCCTTTCAAGCTCCGCCTCCCCCAAGCTACTCCCACCGGGGGTGAGAGGTAAACGCCGAAAAGGCCCCGGATGAAGAAGCGCTGAGAAGTATTTTCCGGCGTATAAGACGACTGGGCGTATAAGACGACCCCCGACTTTTGAGAAGATTTTCAGGGTTTAGAAAGTCGTCTTATACGCCGGAAAATACGGTAAGTGTTTTCCTGGCTGACAATTGCATTACAACTTAGCAAGTTAGCATTCATGTTTTAGCAGCTATGCTTCACCTTCTTTAACCCAGGACAAACTACTGCTTGCATATTGTTTATATTAAAAACTGTATTTTCCTTCATTTCAGGGTGAAAAAAATAGTTCGGGATCCTGCAGACTATTTTCTGAACCTCTTTCCGGATTTAACCGTTTATATCTATCAGTGTTGCTGTAACTCAGATTTTAAGAAGTATTTTCCAAATGCTAAGAATTCTTCACACCCATAACATGGGTCAACGGGCACTGATTGTTTAATGACATAATTGAATGTGACCTACATACTTTCTAACTAAAACCAATCAATAGTTTTATCAGCAGTTAATACTGTATGTCATCCTGGAAAATGAGCTCCTCTTCTTTAGACCTTCCCTTGCTCACAGACAATCTAGTCAAACTACAACAGCAAGTTAATGTACCCCCAGAGAAACCAAATAATGCAGAATACAGTTGTCAAATTTACAATCATGTCTAGTCTGACAACACCACTCTTAAGTTCCCAAAGCATTGGGCAAAGCATGGTGGAGTTTCATAACTGCTTCCTCTCCAACCTAATATGTTGTATTTGTTAATGATCCTTCAGATATAGGAGTTTATTTGTCAAAGTCAGTTTCTATCCAAAAAAAGTCCCTTTTTAGTGAGTGGAGAATCTCTGCTTTCAAGCAAGTTTATTGTAATGCCATGGGGACAGAATACAAGGTTCTTGACAAGGTTGAAGTAGCAACTTACATAGTAATGCCACACATTTGGTCAGTTAATAATATCCTGTAGCCACAACACCCCTTTCTTGAAACCCAGAGTCCCCTCCAATAGCATCAAATGCAGTAACAGCAGCCAGAATTTTCACAACTATCCTTGAGGTTTCACTTCTGCTTTGTTGAGCTGCATAAGCTATTCCTATAGTTCTGCTTCTCTGCAAACATATCAGTAAGCTGAAACCATTTTACTAGGCTAAGCTACTTGTTCAGTCAGATTTTAAGTGCACACGGGCTTAAAGATTATAAAAAGGCACTTGGGAATTAATATTTTTGCCACTGAAGTTCTGTGCGCGCTCTGCAGGCTGCAAAATAAATGAACGTGAGGCAAGTGACCATGGGTTATCCTACCTAAGAGTGCACGATGAGTGAATCCAATCACTCACTGTAATGATATGTGGAAATGACTTTGGGGGACAGGAGGAAAAGTCTTAGACTGGACAACTGGCATGTAAAAGAGATCTCAGCCCACAGAAGGATGGAAGCATGGGAAATGTTTCCCTAGTATTCTGGTGTGTAAAAAAAAAGGAGGGGAGAAATTGCAGAATAAGTAAGTTTATGGCAAAGTTAAAATACGTTTGCAATAAAGATAGATGTAATATCCTTGGTTGTGCTCCCTGGCTGGGCTACTATCAGCAACTAATACTGAACATACAAGAAGGTCCATATTACATTCAACGCTGACAGCAGAGATTCCCAATTGTTCTTGGTCTTCAGTGCCTTCATTTCAATAATTTTTTTCACAGTGATCCTAGGCTCGTAGTTTGTGTGGTGTCTGACAGTTGTCAAGTATCACTGTGGTGTCCTGTGGTGTCCCTGTGAGTTCACTGCAGCACCCTGGGATACCGCAGAACAGAGTTTGGGAATTGTGAAGCTATATTATAAATGGCCACGGTAATAATTATTACTCTCTGCACCTAGCACATTAAATTTTACTTTGATTGTATTGCTTTACATATAATGCCTACATCTCTATGGGTCTGCATTTATTCCTAATTGGTGATGTCATGCCATATAAGTGGAATGATAAACTGAAATTCATGAAAATCTATGCTTCAATAAACCTGGTATGTAAAGTGCCTCAAAACTGTATTTTTACTTCATCAGTTACTTGAGCAGTTGAAAACATCCATCCAATGTTTATCAAGAGAAATGATTGCATGTTGAAAAGAAGAAAATTCTTTTTAATTTATTTCTGCAACTCACCCAAAATTGCCATAAGTATCATCTGCAGGAAGCACCGCACTGCAGAAAGTCAACAGTCTAGGACAATTCTTTAAAATTTTCTAGTACAGCCTAAAAACACAACAAAATCAAAATAGGGCAGCCTAAAACCTTGTCCTTTTCACACAATTAAAAGAGTTACACCTCAATAACATATAAGGCCTCATTGCAAAAACTGCAATATGTGTGTGAATTTTTTCCCTAGATAATCTCATTGTTTTCTTGAAAGTTGATTTATGAATCCGTTTAAGTTACAAATCTCTCCACTGTACAATGTGAACTAATGACTTTGAATATTTTCATCACAGCTGGCCACTAAGGTAGGCAAAACCCAAGCTGCATTGAGCACTTCTGAGTCCTAGCAATAACATTCCCTTGCTGTTGATTCCAAGTTGCTGAAGTCAGAATAGACCTGAATATTTTAAAAAAACATTTTAATATTTTAAAATCTTAATTTGACCAATGCCATGAATTTTTCAAGAGTGGCAATACAAGGATAGAAGGACTACCGGTGCATAGTTTGCATTTAGCATTTCGGTTAGGATCCAATCATCTCTGGCCCCTTTGCCATTTTTGAGCTATAAGTTCAGTAGCTCTCAAAAAAGACAGTGCAGGCCAATTCGCTATGCCACTGAGGCAGTGATTCAATGAAACCAGGATCTCACTGAGCATTTGGCCAACATCTGAAGAGAAATGAGGCAATAAGAGTTAACGGAGACCTTTGTAAAGAAAGAGAAAGCACCAACCCAAAACTGTGGAACTGTTTTCCATTGTTAATGACCTTTTGCAATGTGTCCAGCTGTTTTTCTTTTCAGCCTTGATACGAATTGAAGACTCTACTTTCTAAAACCTTCAGCTCACTAGGCCTTAGTTTCATCATATTCAAAATCAAGCCACGGCATTTGGTTCCCTGAGTCTTAAGTGAGATCTGAACCCAAAGAATTTCTTGGATGTTATTAATTAACTTTGGAAAGTTATTGAACATCTGACACATGAGCTGGAAATGATGGCTGTGGTGGCCCATTCCATCTACCTCCGTAGCGTACCAGACTCTCAAGCCTTTTTTCCCCTGGGCTTTAAGCTGATTTGCATCTTGCTAATAACCTCAGGTCAATCTTCCAAACTAATCTAATAGAGCAAAGAGGTCTTTATCAGTGTGGTAGCAATGAAAAAATAATGTGCAATAGACCAGTAGTGGAGCCCTGCACATTTCTTACAAGTTCCTCTTTGTGAACCCCATTGATAGGTCCGTTTAGAACACACTGGTTAAATTTAGAAGTCATTTGGGATCACCTCTCTTCCTCATGGCTGAAATCTGCATCTTAGAAGGCCAGAGAAAGAATTAGAGGAAAGAGGTGCCCAGAAGAGACCTGTTAAAACAGATAAATATTATTTCATCCCAGGCATTAAAAATCCTGCATCTCACTGCAACAGAGTAAAATCCAAAATATAATCTTCCATCTTGCCCAGTGGTGTGGGATTCAAATATGTGAACAACCGGTTCTCTGTGTGGATGCCGCTTCTGGAAGTCCATTCTGGGCCTGGGCAACAAAAAATTAGCTATCGGTTCTGGCGAACTGGCTGAATCCCACCACTGCTCTTGCCCCAAAATCACTGATAACTATTGAGACTCAATTATATTTACCTGCTTTTATAAAGAGAGCCATAGCCAGCAGAAACCAAATATAAAGAGCAGGGGGTTCTATGCACAATTTATCCACTATATTATTTCCCCTTAGCATTGTCTCTTAAGGCTTGGGGTTGCTGTCATTTCATAGGAAACAAAACTATCAAGCTCTTTTGGAAGATATCAGATTTCCCAATTGGGCAGGAGAGACCTTTCCTTTTTTATCACCATCTAGATCAGGGCTTTTCAACCAGTGGTACGGGTACCACCTGTGGTACATTGGCATCTGGCAGGTGGTACGCGAACATCCTAGAAAAGTAGTGGGGGAGGGGAATGAGCTGAACCGGTGGCAGCATTGCACAAGCCTGAGCGAGAGATGGCTGGAGCTGCAGGGCTATCAGGGCTCAGCGGAAGCGCCAGGATCAGCACTTATTCGGGGGTGTCAGGGCTCAGAGGAAGCGCCAGGATCAGCGCCAGGCTCCAGCTGGAGCTCGGCGCTGATCCTGGCGCTTCTGCTAAGCCCAGAAGAAGCGCCAATCAGCATCTCCAGGTTCTTGTGATTTACATTCAGATGCTTGGCAACTGATTCATATTTATGACGGTCACAGTGTCCCAGGGTCATGTGAAGTGACCAAAACCTGCTGCAACCACCCAGCAGACGGGGGGAATAAAAACCAAACACTCCACACCCCACCCTCGCTGCCAATCCTCAACAGAAATTCTCACAACAATGAAAACCTTGGACAGGAGGAAGAGCACCGCCAGGTGGGCAGGCAGGTATCTTGCTTGGCTGTGCCTTGGGGGGCACTTTTTTTAGTGCCATTGTAACTTCGAACAGTCACTAAGCGAACTGTTGTAAGTCGAGGACTACCTGTACTTTATCACTTTTTTCCTTCTTTTTTTTTTTGGTCATCAAGTTTTTGACACCTTGCTAGGCAACTGGTGGTACTCGGATGTTGCCATATCCTAAAAGTGGTACAATGGGTGAAAAGGTTGAAAAGCCCTGATCTAGATATATCCCAGGAACTCAATGAAATCTGCTAATCTCACAGTACTCTGCCAGTTGAAGGTTTCTGTGTTTCACTAATGAAGTAGATTGGTGCAGAATTAGTAGAATCTGCTGTGCCAGTGGTGGCTTGGCCAGTAGTACCACATTGTGGAGAGGTCTTTTCAGAACTGGACTGAAACATCAGAGAAGTCATCAGTAAAAACAGGGGTTTCAACACCATTTCAGATTTAGAGTTCAACTGCAAGTGGACAGTTTCAGGGTTGGAATTCATGCCTCTTGTTATCTTGATGAATAAGTTTATTTATTTTTATCTATATTTCATATTTCTTAACTGCCCTCTCCGGCTCTCTAGAGTTGCATGGATAAAGTCATCTTTTATTTCAATTATGTCAAAGTTGCTTTGATAAATACACTTTCCCCTCAGTTCTTTTATTCAGTTGGGTGAAGAAAGGTGGAGCTGAAACTGAATGCTATCTATATTAGCCAGTTTTCTCTCAGATCATCAGAAGGAGCTACAGGAACCTTTGTAGATGAGGACAGGCTTCGTGACTAGGCCTCTATAGCCACAGCTTAACAGCTGGAATAAACCCAGTTGTTATTTTAATGAGATCAAGATTGAATGAACAGATAATAAATGATGTTTTAATCTTTCAATCTTCTGCAAATTTCAATTTGCTTTTCATTGGAAACAAATCAAATGAGCAGAAAGTACTGGTTTCTGATTAAGAAAGGTGAGCAAAAGCATTAAGAGAGACTTTAGCAAGTTGATATTTGTATTGTAGACATAAAGTTTGTAGAGTTACTGTATATATTATCCTGTGTCATGTGCAGCTTGAATTGTATCAATGCAGAGTAATGTTCACCTGCAACTTACAATCGTTATAATATATAGTGAAGGACGTAATACGACAGCTTTCTGTCATGAAAGCTGTCCAACCCACCTCACAGGGTTATGGTTGTTGTGGGAAAAATAGGAGAAGGAAGGAGTTTTAAGTATCTTTGCTACTTTGAGTCACTTATAAAGTAAGAAAGGTGAGATAAAGATCTAATAAATAAATCTCACTCTGTTCCAAATGTAACAATTTATTGGCGTTTAATCAAAAAGATAGATGTTTTCATGTTCAGAACCCCTTTTGTCAGTTCAGTAAATATAAGTGGCAGTCAATTCTTGCAGGTAAAATTTCTACTTTTGATTCACTGTAGCAATGTGCTGAAATGTTATTCAATTTTATCTAAATATAAAACACACTCGATGTAAAGAGAAATACAAAAATAGTTTATGTTAAGAGGAAGTGTGGCTTGCAAGCCCTCCTTGCTTGATGTGAAGATCTTTGACCTACGAATGGACAGCAAGCAATGTTTTGTAAATGCAATGCAGGCTGCAGCTGCGGGGGGAAAAACAAGCACATTTTATTATGCTCTGCTTGACATAAAATCCCTTCACAAATGAAAGAGAAACTTGCAGGAAAAAAATATTTCAAATTTGCTTTTTCAAATTTCTTTGGTATGTATAGGATCTGGAATTGTTTATAAATGTGCGACAATGCAATATATACCTCCAGGACATATGTCCATCCTATTAACAGAATCATAGCTTCTTTCTAATATAGCTGAGTCCAGCTTCCTTCTAGAATACAGAAAAACAGCCAGGTGGAGTTCCAGTGTTTGGGATCAGGAAACGTGAAGAGATATAATATTTTTTCACTTTGGTAACCTGAAGGTGTGCAGATGCTTGCTGGGGAATTCTAGTAGTTGAAGTCCACATATTTTCAAGTTGACAGTGTCGAAAAATAATGGATTAGCAGCTACTGGAAGTATGGCTTGTGACACAGGATACAATTCAAAACAATCCCAGATTTTTAAGTCACTGTAACAGCTCTTAAGGGAATGAATGCATTTTTGTGGGGTGAATGGGGTACTTGGGAGTAATGATTGCAAAAGAGAATACCAATGATTTTGGAGGATTCTGTGATCCTGTATTGTAATTCTGATTTTTAGTGGGTAGCTGCAATAATATCGTGAACATATGATGGCCCTCTTTTGGTATGCAAATGGTAACAACATATGTATCTGTGGTTTTTCAAAGTGATTCTCTCTTATGCCAAAGGATTTTAAAAAAAAATAAGACTAGGACATTGTCCCTCCCCCCTTCCCCTTTCCTGGAGTCATTGGTTAAGAAATCATCAACAAAACAAATGACAAAATGTATATGGCTGCATCATCCTGCTAATGCTGGGACTTGTGTGCTTGAGGCAGACATTAGGATGCAAACAGATAAGGACAGCATATGTAAGATAGCATCAATACACGCATGCCATTAATTTAATGTCATAGTGGTTTGCTGTGGATGCTGCTGCCTAATGTTTTCACAGTATCTGTTGACAGATGAAATTTGGATTCTTTAAAGGACTATTGCCCTACTGCTGAAGATGCTGCCAAATCTTTAGATTCAGGGTAGATTTTTTTTTAAACCTGGAAAAAACAAAAAGTGATAAAAGTGGCTGCTGATTCTGTGACATCTGATGGGATGATTGAAGAAAGAAATAAAGATAGATTTTTGTACTAAGCTTGTCCATATAGAAAGATCTGACAGGGGAGGTTTAATAAGAGACCAGTATTTCATGATTAAGATAACTGCTTATTCCAGAAATGCTATTATCTCTTTCAAGTACCTGTTTCATCTCCTGAACTGAAACAAGCAATGATTTTTTTACAAATAAAATCTGAAATGATAACTTGTCATTATAATAAAACAGAAATCCACCCATTCAATCTTAAAATTATACCAAAGGGGTGGACACACCTATTTTAATTATACTTAGAGAGGTTCTATAAATTTTGCAGGGATTCTTATCCCTGTATGCACAGAAAGACATATCCTCAATTCTTTCTTTTCCCTCTATCCCTTTTTCTTGGTTGCTTCTGCTTTCTGAGAGTTAATAGAAAGGATTAGAAAAATACATCCCAAGAGAGAAAATATACTTTTATCACTTAGCTCCCAAAGATCTTTCCAGGCTTGTCAAAGCCCCTTTACTTGCTGTGGTGATAGACAAGGAACTCAGTTTCCACATGTTGCAGCAGAAATTTATCACCCATTGACAAAGTGGTGACATTGTGCTTCCAGAAGGGAAGATATTAAGCTGTTAAAACACTTTTTTTCCATCTTCAAAAACTGATGTCCTGTGTCAGGATGCAAGCAAAAACAAATTTAACAATTTAAAGCTGAGATACATAATGTTATAAAGAATTCATGACTGGATTAGGAATTAGTTGATCTTTTGCCATTATTAGACTGTGGCTTCTGTGTGACAAACATGCCCAACCATACAGGTAGTCCTTATGACCACGTTTGGGACCAGAATTTCTTCTGCTAAGCAAGGCAGATGTTAAGTGGGTTGTGATCAGTTTTATGATCTTTTTTTTGTTTGCCAAAGTTGTTAATTGAATTACTGCAGTTGCAACAATGCAGTTGTTAAGAGAATCTGACTTCCCTTATTGACTACTGTATGCTTGGCAGAAGTTGGTTGAGATGGTTGCTAATGGTGATCACACACCAAGCTGTTTCCTTAACCTTCCATTAACCATTTTGTCCACCTCTTTAGGAGCAGAATAATTGCATACAGAATGGTGGCTGAGAAGACAGACCCTAAATCAGTTGCCCTAAACACCCAAGAGCATCTTTCTGATCAGAATCAATACTTGTCATTTAATTCTACCACCTATTGATTTTACATAGCTTGAGGCTGCCATTGGATCATATTGGAACATGGAGGAAAAGGCTACTCGAATACAGAACTGGAACATCTAGTGAAAACTTACCACCATCCCACTCGTAAACTTAAGAAAAAGTAAGGGCAATTCAGTGACAGGACAAAGTGTGAGGGGAGTAGCTGTTAACCATGATTATGCCTTGATATGCCAAAATATCACAGAATTCAGATATTTTTTTCTGTGAAATATCTGAGAATGCCTTTATCTAATGCTTACTTCCTACCCCTGGCTGCTTTGTAGAACCTCCTCTGAATAGTCTCCACCACATGTGTTTCTACAGGCACCTATGTGGCAACAATAGCATCATCATCCTCTGCATGGAGACAGGATGCAAAATGTTGGCCAAATTGTAAGCATGGTTGCTTCTACTACTGGTTGCACAAGTGCAACACATGTGCATACACATTCCATAAGAAACCCATGTAATATCTTACCTGTTTATTGGGGAACCTTTGCCCAATAAACTGATGGAGAATTTTCACCGAAAAAAATCAATAATTTTGACTTTCTCTAATTTGTCGTTCAATAAATTTGGTGGAGAATTTCAGGAGGATGCTTTTATATAGTTCTACATTTCTCAAAAACTTTTAAGTCTCAGATAGAGGCAACATATTTCAAAAACATTTACCTTTTTTGCATAGAGGCACCAGATGACGATTTCCTACGGATTACACTTCCTGTCGATGCTGTCAAGGAAAAGGAGTTGTTAGGTCTAAATCAATTGATTAAACCAAATATAAAACCACTCATAAAGGAATTATTGATATATTTTTTCCTTTCACAAGCCTCAACCTATCTCGGGAAAAAAATTATTGATTTAAAACCATCTCTTTTTTTCCTCATTCACAACTAAGGAAACTAATTTCTAAGTTCTGGACAACTGCCAAATTCTTTAGGGTTAGATTGTTCCTACTTCAATCTTTGGTTCAGCCATTATACTGACTGATAATAAGGAGAGGGCCAGAGTGCAGGAAATGCAAAAAATTACGGTTACCTAGGTAAGAATTTAATTTGTTGTTTGGATTTTGCTGGCTTTCTTTGCTTGTTACAGTTTATGACCAGCCGGGATTTGATCAGCAGCTGAGAATTTAGCAACTTTTTCACCATCCAGAAAAGGTGGATTTTCCACTAGAAAATCTAGAATCACTATGCTTGTTTATACTTGTAGTGACAAAGACTGGAAATCACTTCTTTATACAGGCAGTCCTCGACTTACATTTCATGTAGTGACGGTTCAAAGTTACAACGGCATTGAAAAATATGACTTATGACCCTTTTTCATAGTTACCACCTTGGCAGCATCCCCATGATCATGTGATCAAAACTCAGATGCTTGGCAAGTGGGTCATACTGACCATCATTGTGTCACAAAGTCATGTGATCACCTTTTGCAACCTTTTGACGAGCAAAGTCAATGGGGAAACCAAATTCACTTAACAACCGTGTTACTAACTTATCAATTGCAGTGATTCACTTAACAACGGTGGCAAGAAGGGTTGTAAAATGGGGGCAAAACTCACTTAACAAATGTTTCACTTAGCAACAGAAATTTTGGTCTCAATTGTGGTCGTAAGTCGAAGACTATCTGTATATTTCTATTCTCTTTCTGTATAGTCCTACTTCTTTTTTTCTATTTCCTTGCACTTCGAATATTTCTTTCTCTTTTCCCTTTCTTTAAATTTACTTTGTGTTAGATTATACTGTTGTAATTAAAATTCTTAATAAAATTATACAAAATGACTTACATTTTTCTCCAGGTGATTCATCTGTTGCCTCCCTTAGTTGAGGCAGCAATAGCTGTATTCCCTTGAGCAAAGTAAACCTGATGATTGGATGATCTTCTATATAAATTTATTAAAAAGTGAAGGCAAATTATAACACAGGCATTATCTCCTGATCCCCCAAATAAAACATCAATGATAAAAAATTGTTTTAATATGTACACTCTAACAATAGTGTAATTAAAGTTACTGAGGTTGAAAAACACTGGTTTAGCCCCCCAGAAAAGGTCAAGAGTTGCTTTTTAGAGCCGTGAGATACAGTTCAAACATGCTAATCAAGTGCATATTTTATAACATACAACATATACAAAATAAATCATGGAAGCTGCAGATTCTGCTTACCTCCACTGTAACCACTGCCCTTCCTAGCTGCCTTTGTAGGTGATGGTGGTGGAGGAGGGGACTCATCTGCTTTTTCTCCTTTGCGTTTTCTGAAATATTTCATCACTTTCCAATAACAGTATCTGCCAGGAAAAATGTTGATACTCCTGGCAGCTTTTATTGACATAATGCACATTTGGCAAAGCAAAGAGTTGCTCGCTAAGAAAGGTACAAAAAAACAAAGCAGACAATCGAGCTTAGAGGCTTCCTGAGCCCCTGATGGCCTGTCATACATGGATAACAGACTGTGTGTGGTTGGGTGGGCTACAACTTTTGTAGGACAAGTCTAGAATGAAGGAACCCCAAAAAACAGTAGACAAGTGGACAAAGTGACAATTTAGGGACATGCAATTCTTCTTTGAGCTGAACCTTTCTTTTTGTACTACTAAGCCACCCAAAATCAAATTATCACATAAAATCAGCACAATCAGTAAGAATACACCATGGAGGCTCCTACCTTCATTCAATTTTGAAATATATATTGCTTAGATTGCAAAATCAACTTTGGGACCAGCTTAATAACCCTGTTGTGACCTTTATTTTCTGATTATGTCCACTATAATAGGTATTTCCCAGATCAAAAGTGTGCCCAGTGACCTTTTTATTCTGTCATGTCATTATTACATTATCTTCATCTCATCCTCAGCCCACACATGAGGTAGTTTAACATTATTCTTGGCTGTTTTGGACTGAAAATAGCATTTTTCTCCTTAAGCATTCAATGACTTCAGGTCTTTTTGTTGTGGGGGTAAACTGATACTGTATGCTCAACCTAGCAGTGTTGCAAGTGACTCTTAGTGGTTGGGATCATCTTGCCACCTATTAGCTACTTTGGGCGGGTGCATTTATGTTCCCTCCCTTCAATCCCTAGGTGGTGAACCTATGGCACGTGTGCCAGAGGCGGCACTCAGAACCCTCTGTGTGGGCACGTGTGTCGTCACCCCAGCCGTGCCTCCCCCCGTGGCTCCCTCCTCACCAGCAGCTCCCCTGAAGGAAAGTCACCCCAGGGCGTGGCCCGCGCAGAGCAGCACAGCCAAGGACATGGCAGCCGGGCAGCAGTGACAAGACTCCACCCTCGCGCCCTGTCGTGCACAGATGATGCTGCGGGGTGCGGGCGGAGGATGTGGTTGCTATGGCACTGCTGGACCACCTGGGTGATCTGTGGTGGGCTGTGGAGGCAGTGGGTGGCCCTGCAAGCGGGCGGCGTGGGGGGCAGAGGGGGGCAGGGGGCGGAGGCGGTCCGGGAGGCGGTGTGATTTTTGAAAACTTGGTCTCTAAAAGGTTCGCCATCACTGCCCTAGGTATTTCCCTCTAGATCCTTATTTTCATAGAATCATGGTCTGAAAGGGACTTTGGAGGTCTTCTAGTCCAACCCGCAGCCCAAGCCAGGAGTTCTTATACCATCCCGGGTAAATGGTTGTCCAATCTTTTCTTGAAAGCTTCCAGCAATGGAGCACCCACAATTTTGAGGGAGGCAAGCTGATCCACTGCTCTCAGGAAAGTCTTCCTTACTTCCCAGTTTTGGCTCTTCCTCTGATGAACTTCCACCCATTGCTTCTTGTCCAGCCCTCAGGTGTTATGGTGAATAAATTGACAACTTCTTCCCTGTGAAAGCCCTATTTTGGGAACAATGAGAGCAGCAGACAGGCTTTTTTTCTCATGTTTACCAGGTATCTAAATTGATCCCTAGCTTGGAGATCTGTTTCAGCCCAAATAGCACCACCAGTGGTGGTGATGTAGGTTGCGAGGTGAAGCAGGCCAGAGCAAGCCATCTGTGTCACTTACCCCTCCCGGCGTGCCTGTCAGCTGTTATCTGAGCTGCTATTGAGCAGCTTTCAGAAATGTACTAAATGTTTCACAAAAGCTAAAAAAAAAAAAAAAAAGCTGTCCGTATTGGGAAGAGGGGGAAGGTATGGCAAAGTGGGATTCTTTTACTTTATTTTGCAATCCTCACAGCTGTTTGAGAGACTTGTTGACTGTAACTGGTGAATAGAGTCAGTTCTTCCACCATCCCTCCCTGCCCTGGTAATCTGGGCTTCAGCTGCCAGAATGGGGAGGAGTGGCAAGAGAAATGGGATACCTGATAAAGCAAGAAGAGCACCTCTGTTGGTAGACTCTAGCACCCCATGGATCAGTGGCAGCTCAGTTCCCAGTCTGCTGGTTAGGTGAGGATTGTTCAGGTGGCAGAAAAGCATCTTCTGCTTTGCTGGTCAGACTCTACCAATGCCATGGATCAAGGGTCATAGAGGGCAGAGGGAATGGCCTTGATGGACAGAAGGATGAGCCGCTACCAAGTCAATGGTCAGATACAAAGGTTTTGAGAAAACATCTCAGACAAGCCCTTCCCTTAGTTCACATAAATAACTATTTGTGTGTGCGAGAGGGAGGCAGGTTTAGACCTGCAAGATGTTGTTACTATAGCTGTTACAATAAAAGTAGTCCTGACTTTTATGGCATTGATTTTTTTTAGTCTGGTCCACCTGGCTGGGCTGACATTTGATAGCAGATCTTGACAGACGATGGAGTCTACACTGTACAGCTGTACAATGATTAGTGGAGAGTTTCTACTTATTAGTGAGACTAGAAAACAGAGGACAATGACGCCAGGGAGTTTAAGTTTACTTACTAAAGCTTTAATCACATGCCCTGAATACTGTAAATCATGATAATGTTATCTGGTGGCAAACCAGAACATAGGTTTTAGATGCAGGATAGGGATTGATAGTTTAGTTTAGCTGATTGATTAGTCAAACAGACACATCAAATCATAATAGCAACAGGATAGAACAGGGGTGTCAAACTTGTCACATTACGTGACATGTTAACCATGTATCGTGACTTTTTTCCCCTTGCTGGAGCTGGGGTAGGCGTGGCTTCTGTGTGACACATCTGGCCCGCAGGCCGACAGTTTGACACCCCTGGGCCAGAAAGCAGGAGATGGTTAGTTCAAGTCCCACCTTAACCATGAAAGCCAGTTGGATGACTTTGGGTCAGTCACTCTTTCTCAGCCCAACTCACCACACAGGGTTGTTGTTGTGGGGAAAATAGGAGGAGGAAGGTGTGTTGGATATGTTTGCTGCTTTGGATTATTTGTAAAAATAATAAAGACGGGATACAAATCAATAAATAATATTGTCAACATGAATTGGTAGTAAGTGCAGCAAATGCTAACCCTGTATATATTTTGATGAGTGGAGAACACGTCAATTCTGCAATTGGAAAAGGCCCTATAAGAGTGGCTCAACACACATCTGAAATGTACGTATACAGCAAATCTAATAATCCAAGTGATAAAAATACTTACCTCTTCCAGAAGTATAATAAATGTGGGAAGATGGAAATTATAGCACCATGATAAAGAGTCCTGTTCAGCACCCCTTCAGAAATTAAAGTCCGAATTTGAATACACTGTGCATCTGTGAGATTGACCTGATCATGGAAGATATCAGAAATAAATAAAATCTATTTTCAAATAAAATGTCATAAAAATGGATAATCATGTCAACCCATCATTGGAACAGAAACAGAAATCTCTGAGATAATGCCTTCAAACCAAATATTGGAAGGCAAAGGCTAACTATGGAGAAGTGCTTACATTTTTTTGCCTAGAATGTGAACCTCCTTCACAAAATGCCTTGCAGGTGTGCATGAATATCACCGCTTAAGCACATTCTTGCCCTACAGATGTTTAACCCCTCTTTACTAAGACCAGTGTAGCATTCAGTGGGACCTAATTCTAAAAGAATAATTTCCCAGGAAAAAGTTCTAGATCAGAGACTATAATCTAGCTGCTCAAGACCTAAGATCCAACCAATCATGTTCATCATCTGTACATAATCATTTTCAAACTCGGTTACATATTGTTCTATACCTGCTAGCTTTCTGTCCATATTGACCCTCACCCTTAACTGCACATATAAAAAACATGGAAAGTAGATCCTTCTGTAGTCAGTTGTTCTCTGGATTTCATTTTGAGTTCTCTGTTTTCCTGAATTAGGTAAAAGCAAAGTTCCCCCTGTCCAGCTGTGTCCAACTGTAGGGGGCGGTGCTCATTTCCATTTCTTAACTGAGGGAGTCACCATGCTCATGTGGCCAACATGACTGTATGCCGAGGCATACAAAATGCTTTTACCTTCCCATCGAAGTTGTACCTATTTGCATGCTTTCGAACTGCTAGGTGAGCAGGAGCTGGGGGTAAGTAACGGGAGCTCAGCCCATCATGTGGCTGTCATGTGTCTGATTAATGAAACACTTAAAAGGGCTTTCAGGCATATTTTTTCCTAAAAGCATTTATTAAGGTTACAGAGACGTCAGTACAGCATGGTGGAAATTCTTAGGTCTGGCTTCTTTTCCGTTACGCAAATACATTCTAAGCATTTCCTCCCCCCTTATTTTGGGGTCATGGTTCACATCTTCCAATCAACTTGGAAGATGTGATTTACTTCCGGTTTCTTTTTCCCGGGCTATCCTTATTCTCCTCCCTTTTTCCCTGTTGCCTGGTTTAACTATAAAAATACCAGACAGTTCTGCATATTGTCAAAGCAAGAATATACAGTATTTGCAGCGTTGACAGTGGCAGTTGGGTCTTGAGCCTGGGCTGTCAACTTTCCAGCTGGCAGGCTCAGCATCTTTAACCACTGAACTTCCACCCCTCCCCCTATTTTCCTGTACTAGCAAGCCTGTATTTCTTGTTTGCTATAAACCATTGTTTCTTTTCTATAAAATGCTTCTTGAGTGGAAGTCAACAAAAGTATTTATGGGCATTGCCTGGGTCTACATCTCTGTAATTTGTTCAGATTTGCCATTTGTAATATGGCAAGCCCGATAAAATGTTTCTTTTTTATAAATGTACAATTTAACTTTACCCTACCATAAAAAGCCATGCCATCCAAACCTCAGACCATGACTTTCTAATTCTAAGAGTTTCTTCTTTCTTAGCAGCATCCATTCTTTCGTCAAACAAACTACAGGCAGCAAAATACGATTTAAAATCAGGCAACCCCAGTACACCTCTTTCCTTTGCACCTAGGAGAAACTTATATTTAATTCTTGATTTCCCATATGAATCTGGTTGTATCTTTTTGCCATTGTTTGAAGGGTACATTATGCCTCAAAATGGGTATTGTCTGAAATAAAAACATTCCTTCCCCATTTGTCACTCAGTCCTTTGTCATGAAATCCTCTTCCTTTTCAATGCCGCAGCAAGGTTCCTGGGATTTAATGTGTCTTCCGTACTTAGGTAATCAGCAAGTAAGTTTTGCTTTCCAGCTTTGTGATGAATTGAAAACTTCTATGGTTGCATGGTTAAATGCCATCTGGTAATCCTAGGATTAATGTCCTTCATTTTTTTTTATCTATGCAAGTAGTTGATGAAGGGGCATGGTAGCCTAGTGGTTAAGATGATGAGCTTGACAACCAAAAAGTTTGAGACTCAAGTACCATGTGATGGGGTGAGATCCTGTTTTGCCCAGCTCTTGCCAACCTAGCAGTTTGAAAGCATGCAAATGCAACTGGATAAATAGGTACCACTTAGTTGGGAAGGTACAGTAACAGCATTCTGTGTACCTCAGCATATAGTCATGCCCGCTATATGACCACAGAGGCCCCTTTGGACAATGCTGGCATCCTGAGCTGGGAAATGGAGATGAGCACGGCCCTCTAAAGTTGGACACAACTGGACAGGGGAAATCTTTACCTTTTTAAGAAATTGATGATCAGTAATTACCTTGAATTCTTAGCCCCAGAAATAAACTTTAAGTCAGGGGTGTCCAATCTTGGCAATTTTAAGACTTGAACTTCACCTCTCAGGATTCCCCATTAAAGTCCCAAGGGAGAAAACAAAGAGAAGGAACAGCTCATGTTGGCCATTGCAAGGCTTTCCTTCCTCTCTGGGAAAACACATCTCTAACATGGCCAGGTCTGATAATGTTATCAGACCCGAAAATACAGACCAATCAAGAGTGCTGTGTCAGATTTCTAGGGGAGAAGGGGCAGCACAAAGAATGGAAGAATTGGCAATACAATTTACAATACTCAAAAATGAATAGTAAAAAATAATTAATGTACTGATTTTTTTTTAAAAAAATGCTTATTTTGTTGATTTATTTATTAAATTTATATGCCACCAGTTTCAGTCTCCAAAGCAACTCTGTCTCTATATGTGTAGGAAGTTTATCATCACAAACCGAAGTAGAAACTTCCTTTCTGAGCAAAGGAATTGAATGGTTCCTTTAAACATAGGTCCTTAAAGATACAAATGTTGTACTAGTGTGGGATGCAACACAACTGATTTCTGACTTTTACGAAACATGCCATTATTATCATGATAATAAGTTAAGCTTTGCTATGAAATCTGTATATCTTACCTGTCCATCTGTTCACTTCAGTGCCTATTCTTTGCCATTAAGTTGAAAATGCAGCATCTTTTCTTTATGTTCCTGCAAGCACAACTAATCCCACTACCTTGGAAAAATTGTTTTCAGATCTCTTACCCTGAGTTTAGGTGGGATATCTGAGTTCAGAAATAGTTTGGAGATTGTGGCCACTTTGTTCTTCAAGAAGACAATATCCCTCTCTGTATAGAACCCAAGAGAAGCCAGCATGACCACAGTGTCAGACAGGTGAAGAAACCTGTGGTAGTAATAAATAGAAAAAGGAGAGACATTGAGGATGGGAAATACAAAAGCCCCCCTTGATGTAGCAGAAAAGGGAGACATGACCGCATTACAGTTGATATCATCCAGGCCTGAATTGGCAATGCCAATATGGCAATAACAGGGCATATTTGGGGTCAAGCCCATTCCCATGCTAAAAGGTGTCGTGTTAATTCAGCACCAGTCTGACATGTCTCTGTGGCTGCCACAGATTGCCAAGGTGAATTAGGAGGAGAATGCCTCCCATGTTGGAGAACATATTGGCGAATTATCCAATCCAAATAAGATATATCAGATATTCATTTATGGCCTTACAACGTGATGCTTGATGAGTGTGGCTGAAGAATTGCATTAGACATGATGGATGAGGGTAAATATTATTGATCACAGAATGCAAGAAGCATGGGTGATATGGCAAGTGATATAGCATGGGGTGACCTACCTCTCCATTTCTAAATAAAAGTAGAGATCGTTCACCAAGAAGTTGACTGAGATGATGCGACCACCAGGTAGTTTGCGCTTCACCTGTTGTGATTCAGGGTCTTCTGATAGTCCAGAAGCTGGGCCATAACGCCCACTACCTCCACTCTGACTTGCAGGCTTTGTTTGAGTTGGACTCTGCATATCTGGAGAGAAAGAGAGGGAGCATCTTCCACAAAAATCATCCATGATGAGAGGTATAAAAATAATTCTGTTCAATAATCTTCAATATTGGCAATTTCATTCCACAATGCAGGAGACCAGAAGTTGAACAAAAATGACTTGGAACAATTGGACCACAATGCACTTCAACTGATCAGTCCCTTTAATAACCCATTCCCTATTAGTCCATGCCTTGAAGATTAAGAATTCCCTGGTAAAATTGCTTTGGCTGGAGAATTGTTGCAGGAGCAGATATTGTTGAGCTTGAAACTTCCAGTGATTTATTTCCATCAGAATGAAGAATGTGGGGAAACACACTGGCCACAACTAATACAAGGCTATCAGGATGAACCTCTAACTTCAGAAGGTTGGCTTTCCTGATTTAGTGGACCTAAAACACTGGAATGAGTTTTTAGGAGTTTCAGCTGGAAATTAATCTAGGAAACCAGATTAATCTTCTATTTAGAGAGTTATTTGAAGATTGGACCTTGCCTAGATGCTGTCAGTGATTTCTTTATTCAATGGACATTAGTGGACGTGGTCTAGGGGGCACATTATGATAGCAATGTCATACCAATGGAATACAAGATCCTCCACTTTATATATGCATCATGATGTTGCACAAACTTTACAGTTTACTACTGTGGGAAGTCACCCCCCCGAGAAGGAAATATTAAAAAGGCAGATTATTATATCTCCTAAAGGATCTTAAAAAGGCAGAAAAGCATGCCCAGTTTTTCTTAATAGCCCCAAGTCTCCATCCCCCAAGCAAAAAACAGCTCTGTAGAAATGCAGATATCATAATCCATTCAGGAAGATTGGAGCCAGGAAGCTGGAGCTGATGGGATTAAAAAGACAAAGATCCCTAGAATCAACAACCCCTCACCCAAAAAAATCCAACACAGGACATAGCCATCAGCCACAGCCCCAAGGAAGCAGGATATAACCTTTAGAACATAATAGGATTAACCCACCACCACCAGAATACCAGAAAGGCACACTCAGACTCAGGTCAAAGTACATGACACAGGAAATACAAAGCCTCAAACAGGAACAACTCCAAACACAAAAGCCCAGGAAGATATAAAACCCACCATTCCCAGCAACATGTAGTCAGCTTTCCCAGAGCCATGCTTCTGTTTGGCTTTGCTCTTCAATAAACTACAACCTTCTTTCTAAAGCAGTCTCCATTTTGTTTATTCCCAGCTTGGACTGGACCCTGATGAAGACTTTTCTTTCAACACTACTTTACAGCTATAAATGCCCTCCATGAGACTCTAGACAATTTGACTATTTTTTGAAAATAAAGCTGGACAATATTGTATGAGTCCAATATAAATAGTATGGTTATTTGGATTGGATTCTATATTTGAAGGATATATGACTTTGGACTGAGCTGAGTATTTAACCTGAATGCATAGGTGTTCATCTCTTTTTATTTTGATTGCTATCTCTTTATTTGATGGACAATGTATGCTTTATTCTGGGAGTTCAAGTCCATACATTTTAAAAGTGCTGAGGTTCAGAAACACTGGCCTAATTAGTCCAAAAATCCAAATTAAAGCTTATAGCTATCTGGCTTCTGTAGGAATACATCCAGTAAAGAAGAGCTCATTTTTTACTGTTGTTTTTCTCCCCTAAGAGATTTCAGTTTGACATTTTATATCCACCATAGTTTCTACTTAGACTATGTATGGTATGAAATAATTTTTATTTACATGAAATATTAGTTTTTGTGTTCAAGAGTATTTTTAACAATAAACTCTTATTTCTATATAATTTCTTCCATGTTTTTAAGCAGGGACATTTGCACAGAGAGAGAAATTACCAGTACCTACTTGCTGTTTATTATGAATTACAAAGAGAACATTGGCTGCTTAATAATATCGCTACCTAATTGCATCACTTCTTGTCCTATGTCATCATCTCCATTAAAGGAAAACTAATATTACAGAAAAAGCAAATGGGAAATCACTCAGAGAGAAGCCTCCATAGCTGGCTTCACTATTGCTTTGCTCTTACTATTAGAATGTTTTTCCTAGCTTCCAGTTGCAATTGGTCTCCCTTTAAGGGGCATACTCAATAGTTGGTCTCACTGCAAGGGGCATATTCAACCGAAGTGTCACTTGAGTGGAACCATTCCACACTATGTGGAGGGCTTGGTTGCTGAAGAGGTTTAGGTTAGAAGAATGAAGAAGCAAGGAAATAAGTCTGTGCATGTTTAAAAAAAATCTCAAAAGCTCTCAAACTTCATTTCATTCTTAGTAACCAAGTTAGTGGATGCTGAACTCCTTTCAGCCTGAACCAACTGATGCTTTTTCTCCATTTCCTGATTTTGAAATAAACCATAACATAAAATCAACAACAAAGAAGACTCCTTCGCCTGAAAAAATCCACCACTATGTGGAAAGTGAAAGATTTAGGACTCACTTTCTTTGTCGTTCTTCACCTCCTTGAGGAGAAAGTTCTCAAAGCGTTTGCGCTGTCCCACATAACTCATTGCCTTTCGGAATTTGCAGACCCTCCTGATGAAGGCGGTAAGAATACACCAGCATCTTTTCTGGAAAAGAGACCATTGTTTGCAATGCTCAGTACAGGGCAGCCTGATCGCTGACCTTGTTAATTCTCACAAATGAGAAAAACTAGAATAGAAGACAAAGAACTGGAGAAGATCACAAAGTATCAAGATCTGAAAATCGAAATTGAAAGATTATGGCATAAACCAGCCATGCTGGTCCCTGTGGCTATCAGCACACAAGCTATCATATCAAAAAATCTTGGACAGCTCTTAGAAAATCTTCCCATTGACAAAAAGTTCCAATTGTCAATAGCAAATGGACCCATTGTTTGGATCCATACATATACTATACATATTAATTACAACTTCCTAGGTTCTTGGGAAGAACTCAGTGTTATGAAGGCCAACACCAGCTAAAGAACTAGCAACTGTGTTGGGATAATAATAATAATAATAATAATAATAATAATAATAATAATAATAGTACCAAATCAAAATGAAATAAAACAGGAGGGGCACAATCACTATGTCCTTTGGGTCTGCGAGAACCACCTGGTCTTCAGTAAATTTTTGAGTGATCTAAAGATGGGAACCACACAAATCTCTGGAGGAAGATTATTCCAGAGGGTTTTTTTCTCTTACTGTTTGCTTTCTGGTTATTGTTCATGGAATGTAAGATTTGAGGTTTGACACTTGCAGCAGAAAAGACTGAGAAAAAAAAACTTGTTATTTAAAGCCGCCGCATTATTTCAGACTCTGAACATAGCATGTCAATTGATTAGGAGAATGTCATGACAGAATAAGGTCATCTCTTTGATTCAGCTGATTCTTCAAGACACGTTAGAAGTTCATTATTGCAGACAAGCTTTGTTTATTGAATGTAATGCCCTGCATTCTGGCTTCCTCTGACCCTTCAAAGGGTAGAATAGCTTTTTAAACCAGATTCAAGGCAACTGAGTCAGCTATTTATGAATTTGTAATTTTAGATTGGGTCCAAATAGAAGGATGTAAACACAAAGCCCTGCTTTGCAACCATCAGTCTCTATGGAAGCTATGAATCCAATCCCTCCCCACCACTACTCCTTCAACCATCAGTCACCTGCTTGCTTGTCAATGGAGAATCCTTCTTTGTCTTCCAACCAGCTGAAACAATGGCAATATCACTATCAGGATATAGGCCTTGGTACATATTAAACCTGCCAGTAAAAAAGGAAAATCATTTTGGTAAATTATTACTCCTTGTTATCTATTGCAATTCATTTCACTTGAAGATGTTTATAGGAGAAACTTGAGTGTAACAAGCAAAGGATTCTGCATCAAGATTGATTTGGCACTTAAATCATC